CACCACAATGGCAACCAAATTTCGACTTGAGTTTTGGAGAGGACAAACCACATGAAACCACGGCGCAGTGACGTTCCAGTGTCATGGGTTTAATGGAAATGATCTCACACTGAATAAGATGGTGGGGTCCACAGATGCCTTCCACCCTAACACGGTGTGACTCTATGGAGGCCCCTCCATCCCATCCCCTTCATTTTTTCCCCACAGCACAGCTTCAAGCTGCCTCACGGTTTTTGACAGCCTCCATCAGAGTGTGTAGAAGACATTTCAGATTTGCTCTCTTTTCTGGGACAGTGTTCATGTCTACATAAACAAAATGTATTCTCTGGAGCACAGAAAACCAGCACTCCCAGAGAGACAAACATTAAATTTTGATTTTCCACTTTTTGTAATAGAAATGACATCTATTTTTGTTCAAGGAAAACATCTAAATAGAAAGGAAATGAAAGAAAGGAAGGAAAGAAGGGGAAAGAAAATATCTGTTAAGGGGAAAAGTCAAGAAATTCACCCATGCTCACGGTTTCTCTGAAGGTCACACTGACAGATGTTTTGATAAGGACATCCTCTCTGGTGCATGATGGGTAGGTGGTGCTGTGAGTCACAGCATCACTGCCCTACCTTGAACTTCACTGGCAAGTGGGGATGAGAGAAACTAAAGCAAAACCTTTTCCCTTGGTTCTGAGGTCATCAATTCCCAAGTCACCCATTTATCTGAACTCCACACTCTTTACCTTAGTTTCCAGGATCCCACTATGGAGCAGTCTGGTTTAGCAAAGTTTTAAAGTCCACAGCTGAGGAAGTCACAAACCCTAGTGCGGAAGCTACTGCTCCTCCTCTGCAGTGTGGCCATCAAGCTGACTTCTAAATGTTATCTTTATGCCCAGAGACTGGTGCTGCAGTCAACATTGCTCAGAGAAGAGTCTTTGCTCCTCTGCAGCCGGCAGTGCAAACTTCAGAGACTCAGTCTGTCCAAGTGCTGAGAGTAAGTGGCTGTTGGATGCCCATACTCATTGCAGTTATAGGCAGTTCATAGTCGCTGGTGGAATGAGAACCATGTTCTCCAGTGGTGGCAGGTGTCCATGCTCCTGTAAAATAGCTAGTCACCCATGCCCCTGAAAGTAACCACAGTGAAACTCATCGAGTAACACACACAAAAAGGCATGAACAGAAATGGGGCTTGGTGGAAAGAGGAAGGGTGTTAGCCTGAGAGGAATAGGAAATATATGATACATACGTATGAATATATCATAGTGAAGTCTGTTATGTACACAATTACTATTGTCCAAGAAACTTAAAAAATGTTTTAAAAGTTCTAAAAATTAAACCAGAAACTTTTTCCCAAAAAGGGAAAAAAATGTGTTTTTAAATATGAAAGTGGCCTTCAAGAAATGGTTATTTGGAATTCTTAGACTAGATATAACAACTAAGATCGAATCATGCATTCCAATGAGATCACAAAAACCTCTCAACAAATCAGAGGCCCACCAATTAATTTATAATTTTGCATCTGACAAATAATAAGAGATGACTTCAGGAAGTCTGATACTAAAAGTTAAATCCCATGATGTGTCTGTAATTTGTGGAAAGAAAGCAAAGCTAAAAAGAGGATGATTACCTCTGGAGAGTTTCTGAAAGGTACCTCAAGATCAAGCCAGCTGTCCAAGGATGAGGATGGTCCACTCATCCAACACAGGCTCTTCATCATTTTGTTGCTGAATGAGGCTTGATACAAACTAAGGTCTAGTGGTCAATGCAAGATGCCTTGCCTTATCCTCCTACATGCCAAACAATCCTCTTCTAACACTTCCTCTTGTTTTTTGTTCCCTTGTAAATCAGGAGGCCAAAGGTGGACAGAATCTTATGGCATCTGGCCCATGATAAAAGGGTCCACCCAGAATAGCTGCTGGGTCTTTGCCAGTATTGATGAATGTGGTACATTATTAGTCACAAAGGTCCCAGCATTTGCCAGTCTCATAAATTAAGATAAAGTTATGCTCAATCTGTGTTCATATGTCCATTCTAAATTATCTTCATATAGTGATTCTTCTGAGGAAAAAGGAAGTAAAAACGCAGCTGTTGACCATCCCTGAAGATAAATGTGATGTCAGCTTTGGTGTCTCTCAGTGTGCTATACATACCCACTTCAATCACCCATCTGACCTATTTGGGTTCCTGCAGCCCACAGAGCCCTTTGTGTGCCTCATGCCCATTTGCATAGACCATTTTTGTAGTAAAAACAGCAATTTAAAGACCCGTACCTGACTACCAGGATAGTGCAAAGATGAGAACCCTCACCTCTCTTCTTTTCAGCTCTAATTTTTCCAACACCTCTACCTTTGTCATAAAACAAAGCAGAAGTCTTGGTCAATGGGGCTGGTGTTATACCTCACTTGATAAAGTGTTTGTACAAGCATGGAGACCTGAGTTTGGATGCCCAGAATTCATGGGAAATGGGAAATACTGGGAATAGTAGCATACCTCAGTAACCCTGGTGTTGAGGAGACTGAAACAGAAGGAGAATCCCCAGAGGTCACGGGACAGCCAGGCTAGCTGACTCAGAGAGCTTTAGATTCAGTGAAAGACTTTGTGTCAAATGAAAAGGTAAAAAGTAATTGAGGAGGATATCTGATTCAGATCTCTGGCCTTCTCTCTCTCTCTCTCTCTCTCTCTCTCTCTCTCTCATACACACACACACACACACACACACTCTCTCTCTCTCTCTCTCTCACACACACACACACATACCACACACTCTCACACAGATACCACATAATAACTAAATAAATAAATATAATATTTAAAGTATCATGCTTCCAATATGCAATGACACAGAAAAACAAACCACTTCATTCTAAAAGGGAGAAATGAGGTAGATAAGGAATGGCTGGCTAAAGCAAGACTGAAATCCACAGGCAAACCCCAACCCCAGAGCTCTATGCCTATCCTCTAGAAAACATCAGATTTTGGTAGCCATGCCCCTGTGACCTGACACCTGCAACACACAGAAGACTACAGAAAATCACTTCTGAATTGGAATTTTAATGACACTTTGGCAAACCATTCTAGCTCCCTTTTAGCCAGCAGCTGCTAAGTGGTGCAGGATGAGATCAGCCTAGGTAGGTGGGAATTTGTGCCCCTGGGCTCCTGGATAGCCTCCACATCTGCTCTGCTGGTCATTTCATTCAGTGACTACATGCCAGCACTTTGGCGATCCACAGCTGTGGCTCACTGATGTCATCTCACCATGGCATTGTCTGCTGAATCACTTAGCTCCTCTTCCGTGGTGGAAGTGTTCTGGGATCAAAAGACAGGAGCCTTAAAGGACATGCTTCATGTCCACGACATTGCTTCACCCCAGTCTTCCAATACTTTTCTTTCCATATCCCTAACCAGTGGGGCAAATCTTCTACCTTGATGAGTAGAAGTCCGTCCTTGGGCCATGTCTCCTCTCCACACAAAGCACAGTTTTCATCAGTTAGCCCACGAGAAGGACTTTCACCACTGTCCTTCAAGACCACCTTGAGTACAGCTGGAAGGACTTCTTCTATTCCCAGCATGCACTCACGTAAGCTTGCTTCTCTGGAGGAAGCTAAGTCCGTTCCTCCTCTGAAGTGGGTGTAAATGATCCCTCACTAGTCCTCAGGTGAGTGTGGAATGAAGACAGCTTCAGTTCATTCCCAGTCACTGTGACAAAATACCTGACAGAGAGAAGGGGGTTACTTTGGCTTATGATTTCAAATAGTTTAGATGATTATCTGAGCATGGTAGTGTACACCTGTAATCCCAGCACTTTCAAGGCAGAGGCAGGTGGATCTCTGTGAGTTCCAGGACAGTCTGGTCTACATAGTGACTTCCACAACAGACAGGACTACATAAAGAGACCCTGTCTCAAAACAAACAATATACAATAAAAACCAACCCCCAAAACCCAAAAATAAACAACAACAAAAACCTAGATAGTTTCAAAGCTTTGGATATGATGGTCAAATCTAAACCAAGTTCTTTATTTCTGAATTACAATTCTACTCTATATTGAGTTTCTAAGAAATTGGAATTCATAATTCTAAAATGAAATTCAATAAAAATCTAAGAGATCATTTTTTCGTATATGTGTGTGGTGTATTGCATGAGAGTATGTGTGATTGTATGTGGGGTGTGTGTACTAATGTGAATGACAGAGGTAGATGGTGAGTGTATTATTTGATTGTACTCCACTTTATTTAAGGCAGAGTCTTTCACTGAACCTGGAGCTCTTGATTAATCTGGTCAAGCTAGCTGGCTTGTCCCAGAGGATTACCTGTCTCCTCCTGGGTGCTAGGATTATAGGCAGGCCACCACACCCAGTGAACTTTTACACAGATGCTGGGGATTTGAGCTCTGGTCATCAAGCTTTTGTGGCAAGTGCTAAATCTTCTGAGTCATTGTCTACCTCCCCCGCCCCATATCAATATTTTAGAGTCATACTAGAACATTATTAGTAATAGAGACAAATAGAGTTATGGAGATGGTTCAGTGGCTGAAATGCTTACTGCAACACATAAGGACCTAATTCAAATTCCTAACCCCAAATAAAAAGCCTAGAGTGGTGTTCACCTGCTATACCCATGCCAGGAGGAGCTTTTTGGCTAGTCAGTCTAGCTGAAGTGGTAGTTCCAGGTCAGTGAGAGATCCTGTCTCAAAAAAGAAAAAAATTCATTCCCCAGGGAAGGTAAGGCTCTCCTTAGGGGGATCTCCAGAGTCTGTCATTTCATCCAGGGCAGGACTTGGGCTGGGGGTGGGGGGTGGGGGGTGGGGGTGAGGCTGGTGGAGGAAGAAGGGGGGAGCCGGGATTGACATTTGAAGCATGCATGTTTCCAATTTAAATAAAAAACATACATAAAAGAAAAATTAGAACAGGAAGCATTGCTTTTCACTGTGTACAAATTTATCAGGACCTCTGTTATATATCAGAGACAAATTATGTGGATCCCTTATAGTGACCTTTGCTTCTCTGTTTTCAGGAAGAAATTGCTGTAATATTAAATAGTTCACCAAAGAAAGCACTTGCTTAGAAATTTCCATCCTGCAATATGTTCTAAAAAAGCAAGCCACAGATCTGGGAGGTGGAGGATTTGAAGCTCTCCCCAACCTTCCTTCTGTTTCTGTTTCTGCATGTGCTTCTGTCCTTGTCTGTGTGGGCAGATGGCATATGTTCCTGAAAATGTGTGTTTCATAGTCTCGCTAGAGTTGTACACCTCTTCAATACCATGCACTTGAAAGACTCCCGACAACCCTGTTTTTGAGACAGAGATCATCTCCATCTGAATGTGTGGAATCAAGATAGAGAAGGCTGCATACAAAGGAAATAAAGACCCTGATTTTGTCACACACACACACACACACACACACACACACACACACACAACCTTAACCACAATGTGATGTCCCTGTGACTATGAATTGACATGCTATGAGATTAAACCATGTACACAGCTCAAAAAGAAAAAAGAAAAAAAAAGATGCAGAGTAACAAAGGAAGACATCCAACATTAATCTACCCACCCCATCTCTGCCAGGAAGTGAACAGACCTCCTCTGCCAAGTACCCACCATTAACTGTATTAACACAGCTCTACAGCACCAGAGCCGGCCAACTGTGAACTAAGACCTGCAACACTGCGACCCAAAGCAAACTCCTTGTCTGTATAAGCTTATCATCTCAGGTGTTTGCTTACAGAAACAAAAAGCTGATGAACATTGCCAGTTTTCCTTGGTGGAGAAAGGAGCCAAATCCAGGACCTGTGGATTTGGACATTTATGAACTTTGACAAAAACTTCCCATAGTTGTCATTTCTTCATTTGCAAATGGGTATGTAATAGCCAGCATATAGACCTTAGAAAGAATAAATTAGAGAAAATAAGTAACTGACTCTGTCCAGTGTTTGGCGAATACAGAGAGCTTGGTACATGCCATCATTTGTTAGAATGGGGACAAGGAGAGAGTTTCGATGAGACTCTAAATGGGAAACTAAACCGTTTAAAGTCAGAAGTATTCCTGGCACAGAGCATCACCGCCAATCTCCTCATTGAACTGTCTTCCCATATGGAAGCTGAATGTATTAAAAAAAAAAAACCACACTAGCTTCTGCCAGGCAGATCTCAGTTTTCACTACAACTCAGTAAGTCAGCAGTTGTATAAACTCAGGAAATTCTCTAACTTCTGTGAGCCTCACTTTTCGTTATGAAAAGTGGCCATAATTCCTGTATGATTGGGAATAAATGCAGTGTCTGATGCTAAGACTGAACTGTGTCACCTTTCATCATTTCTGTCCCAGAGAGTGAGAAGAGAGTGTGACTCGAAAGGGTTACTAATCCCTCAAAACCCTCAGATCACAGATAAACTCATTTCCCGATCATGTCCCTCCTTGGCTTGCCTGGTTTTGATGACCTGATCACACACCCTGGGGACCACATGAAGGTCACCACCAGAGCTGTACTCCCCATCAAAGACTTGTTTCTGCTCACGTACACTGGGTATGAACTAAAGGACACAATGGGTAAGGACAACAGTCCTCCAAGCAGTCATCACCAAGACCAACCGCTTGCCTTCACTGCTTGAGGAGTAGGAACCTCATGATTGAAAGGATAAAGACATTTATCGAATTACTTTAGGTGTATGTATACACAACATGGAATTAAAAATAGCTACAAGAGGCACAGAACTTGTGGGAACCATCAACCAATTATTGGTCCAATTTGAGGCCCTTGTCACAAGAGGGATCCCAAGCCTGATACTGCCTGAAAGGCCAGGAACCAGAATCTGGGTAGTCCAGAGACCTAGAATAGAGCCAAACATGACTGACCTCCCTCCTCCAGCACCCCCCAAAATGTCAATGAAAAGATCCTAATGATACTCTGCTGAGCAGACTGGAGCCTAATACAATCATTATCAGAGAGGCTTCCTCCAGCAACTGGTAAGAGCAGATGCAGACCCACAGCCAAACATTAGGTGGAGCTAGCGGAATCCTGCAGAAGGGGAGGAAGGATTGTAGAAGTCAGAGAAGTAAAGCATAGCCCACAGAATCAACTAAGCAGGGCTCATAGGAACTCACTGAGACTAAAATGACAGGGAGTCTGTATGGGTCTGAGCTAGGCCCGCGCACGCGCGCACAGGTACACACTGGTGTGTGTGTGTAGCTTGGTATTCTTGTGGGACTCCTAACTGTAGAAGTGGGGGTATCGCTGACTCTTTTGCTTGCTTTTGGAAACCTTTCCTCCTCCTGGGTTGCCTCATTTAGCATTGATAAATGATAAGGGAGGTGCCTAGCCTTACTGTAACTTGGTGTGGTGTGTTTGGTTGATATCCCTCTAAGGCCTGCTCTTTTCTGAAGGGAAACAGAGGAGTGGATCTGGGAGGAAGGGGAGGTTTCGGGGAGGGACTGGGAGGAGAGGAGGGAGGGGAAACTAATGTAGGGATGTAATATATGAGAGAAGAGTAAATTTTAAAAATTAAAAAACGGGGGAAAAAGAAAAGAAAAATCTAACCACACAAAAGTCATCAGCATGCACAGACATTACTTTTTGCTTCATGGTTTTGCAAATGAGGTCCAGAGACTGATGCCTACTTGGCAGATGTGCTGTCACTGAGCGACACCCTCAGCTGTACACGCATCCTAGGCAGGGGCAGGGTGTAGGGCAATCTCCTAGGATCCTCTGACTCTCAGCTTCTTACTCAGAAGAGAAGAAAATGAAGCTGTCAGAAAACAAAATCTCACTTGAGAAGACTAAATTTCAACCAATAATTATAATTAAGGATGGATGAAAATATTGCTAGACCAGCAAGAAAAGCATTAACTGATAAATGAAAAGTTTAATTTAATTCCAGAGGACTCTACATCTCTAAAAATTTATCATCTGCTTCAGTAGTTTTGTTATGAAAGTCATGCATGCATAAAATAGGAAATTAGAAGACATAGGCCAGTAAAAAGTTTTTAAAATCTTTATAAATCCATCTAGCTAGAAAAGAAATAATATCAGCAAATATCTTTTAGATATGTTCTCTGTAGTTTTAAAACAAAACCAGGATCCTTCGATTAAATTATTTTTATCCAACATAATTGAATTTTGTGAGTCTTCATTGGGGACTATTCAGTTTGATTCTACAGTGTTGCTACTATAAACATCACAGATTGGTAATGAATACATAAAATGACTTTGAAGGGGGCTGGAGAGGCGGCTCAGTAGTTAAAAGCACTGGCTGCCCTTCAAGAGACCTGGGTTTGATTCCCAGCATCTGCACGGGAGCTCACAACTGACTCTAACTCCAGTCCCAGAAATCTGTCGCCCTCTTCTTTTGGCTTCCCTGGCCACCAGGCCTGCATATGGTGCACATACACACATGCAGGCAAAACACCCATATACATAAAGTCTAAAAAATTAACCAAAAACAAAACCACACACATACACACACAGAGAGAAAATAATGTAGTTAAGGCACTTGAAAAATTCTGGGAACTGGACAAAAGTGTTTAAAGATGTGTGAGAGAAGGGGCTGGGGAGATGAATCTGTGGGTAAACCAGTTGATGGAAAAGCATGAGGACCTAGGTTTGCATCTACATAGCTCATGTAAAAATCTGGGCGTGGCCACACATCTCTAACCCTAGTATAAGAAATGGCCACCCAGCTTAGCCAAAACCATGAGCTCCGGGTTCACTGGGAGACCCTGTTTCAAAAGCAAGAAGCAGGATGAGTGATGGCTTCTCATCATGGAGGACTACTGCAAGAAGTGGCTAGGACACAAGGAGACTGACTGACTCCTTAAGGCGCTAAGGGAACAATGAGAGTTTACCAAGCCCTATGGAACGTCTGAAAACAATCTGAAGTCACTACAAAGTGCTGGGAAGATTGGGGTGAAGTGCTTAAACAGTTAACAGAAGAAAAATCTATCGTTAAAGGAACAAATGGACCAAGATATGTCATAGGTTGTCGTCGACAGCTTGATAATAGTAAGCTGAAGCCAGGAATGAGAGTTGCTTTGAATGTGACTATGGTAACCATCATGAGGTATTTGTCAAGAGAGGTGAATCCATTGGTTCACAACAGGTCTCAGGGGGATCCTGGGAATGTTTCTTATTCTGAGATTGGAGGGCTGTCAGAACAGATTTGGGAAATAGGGGAGGTAATAGAGTTACATCTTTCAAGCCCAGAATTATTCCAGCATGTAGAAAAAAAATACTCCAAAATGCTGTTTGCTATATGGATCACCAGGCACTGGGAAAACACTCTTGGCAAGAGTTGTTGCGAGCCAGCTGGCCGGCAACTTTGTAAAGGTTTATGTAGTTCTATTGTACAAAAGTACATTGGTACTTTTCTATAATCAAAAGTACTCATTTGATTAGAGAAATGATGTTTAATTATGCCAGGGACCAGCAGCCAGGCATTTTTTTTTTTTATGGATGAAATAGATGCTATCAGTGGCCATCGGTTTTCTGAGGCTACATCAGCTGACAGAGAAATTCATAGAACTTTTATGGATTTAATACTCTGCATAGAATTTAAAAGGTCATGGCTACAAACTGACCAGAAACACTGGATCCTACTTCGCTGTGACCCGAAAGATTAGATAGAAAAACACATTATTGATTTATCAAAGAAACAAGCACAATTAGATATACTGAAAATCTATGGAGGCCCTAGTATAAAGCATGGTGAAATGGATTATGAAGCAATTGCAAAATTTTCAGATAACTTTAATGGAGCAGACCTGAGAAGTGTTTGTACCAAAGCATGTATATCTGCAATTCATATCGACCATGATTTTGTAGTGCAGGAAGACTTCACGAAAGCCGTCAGAAAAGTGGCTGATTCTAAAAATCTGGAGTCCAAACTGTACTACAAACCTGTGTAATTTACTATAAGGTTTTTGATGACTGCATAACAGACACTGACTTAACACAAAAATAAACTTAAGGAAAACTATGTATGTATTGGCAACGATCTCATTAAAAATGAATAAACTTATGTATGCGCAATATAATAGTATGTAACTCAGTCATTTTTTAAAAATTGGCACAGAAAAAACTGTGTATTTGTTAATATTGCATTTACTGCAGCAGAATTTATGAAATATGTGTTGAAGCCTTTCATAGTTGCTTTGTGAGTATTTTGTACAATATTCAAAATGAGCTTTTTTTTTGTTTTTTTTTTGGTTTTTTGAGACAGGGCTTCTCTGAGTCACAACCCTAGGTGTCCTGGAATTAGCTCTGTAGACCAGGCTGTTCTCTGCTTCCCGAGTGCTGGGATCAAAGGCATGTGCCACCACTACCTGGCTTAGGAGAATATTTTTTCATGACTTGTTTTATATTTTGTTTTCCTCATCCTAAAAAATGCAGTAAAATCTTTTAGTTGTCCTGTAAAAAATAA